TTCCCAGAACGCAGCTCTAGAGCTGCGTAAATTCAGGTGTGGGACTGGTGCCCTGCGTTTACCGGGAACTTCTTACGTGTAGGAAGCAGAGCATCAGAGGGCCATGCAGAGACGCGCGATCCGTGACGCCAAAACGCCTGACAAGATGAAAAAGTCCAAATCAGTCAAGGAAGACAGCAACCTCAGCCTGCAGGAGAAGAAGGACAAGATCCAGGCGGGCTTGAAGAAGCTCACGGAGCTGGGGACCGTGAACCCGAAGAACCGGTACCAGGAGCTGATCAACGACATCGCCAGGGTACTGCACGGGGGCGGCGGGGCCTGGCCATGCCTCCCGCTCTCCCAGAGGCTTCTAAAGAGCCAGTCGCTGTTCAGATGACAGCGTATCTCCAGGTCATGGCACACCAGCGTCCTCTCGCCTGAATTAGAAGAATCCTTTCTGATTCTTCTAACACGAGGACCTGGCCTGCCCTTTGATAACTTATTTCAGAACCTAAATTAATAGGAAGAAGACGGAGCTAGAGCTTCCCAGGTCTCAATTTGTCTTTGACCCCTTTGGAAGTTTCCAGATCTTTCTACTGATGTCTGTGAAACCGAAATTGACATTGAGTTGGTCATCAACTCCTTATCTTTTTCTCCTTCTTCTGACAACATATTTAAAAGGCTTAAACCAGCTTTGCATGTAAATTCTAAGAATGTGGAAATCCATAAAAGTAACACATTTCCCCACCTTTAGGAAATACAAATTGGGGGGAAAATGGATGCGATCTGAGTTTCTTTAATTATTGAACACGAGTTGGGGCCTGTTAAGAATGGGTGGTCACGCGAGGCACAGTGAAGCGCGACTGGGCTCTGCTGTGAATGATCCCAGGGGCACGGGCTATCGGACGTTGTTTTCCTCATTGTCACACTTGTGTCCCAGGATATCCGGAACCAGCGGAGGTACCGGCAGAGGAGGAAGGCCGAGCTGGTGAAACTGCAGCAAACGTACGCTGCTCTGAACTCCAAGGCCACGTTCTACGGAGAGCAGGTGGATTATTACAAAAGCTACATCAAAACCTGCCTGGACAACCTGGCCAGCAAGGGCAAGTGAGTGTGTCTTTTAACGATTTATCCATGTCGACGGTGGAGGGGGGCGGGGGGCCGGGGGGAGCC